CTTCTCAGCCTGCAGGTTTCGCAGCTTGCGCTCTGCAGTACAAGTGCTTTTCAGCATGCGACATCCTGCGGTGCTTCTCAGCCTGCAGGGTTCGCAACGTGCGGTTTGCAATGCATTCCTTTTCAGTATGCGAGTTCCTGCGGTGTTTCTCAGGCTGCAGGGCTCCGAGGCTCTTCGCTTCGATGCCAATGTTTTCAGACACCGTAGCTCCGTTCCGTAAACATCTTCCAAGAACCGCTCGCAACCTTTTTGCAGCTGGCGGTCTGCAGACGTAGTCTGTCTCAGCATGCGAGCTCCCGCACGCTTCGCCGGCTTTTGCTGCGCGGACAATTTTCTCACACACGTCAGCGCCGTTTGTAGGCGTCAGAAAAACATGTAGACATTCACGAAGGGCTTAGTCTGTATATCGTCACATCATTACATACGCAGTCGTCGAACACATCGGTGTACATTCAGCGCTTTGTCCTTCTACAGCATTCTTTCCGTTGATAACAGTGTTCTGATGGGTTCGCTTCGTTCTAAAAGCGTTGATAGCAGTGTCTCGTTTGCGGACAACTCATTCTATATCAACTCACTGATACCGAGTTTCCTTTCACCATAAGTGAATGCATACCAGTGTATGTTGGTTACTACAAAAGTGGGTTCCTACAACCGACTTCATGATCGCTATCATCATCGCAGATTTCACTCATCCTCATCACCACGACTGGTTCACGTTGGCCTGCGGTGCTTCTCAGCCTGCAGTTCCTTTCGTTACACTGTAGTTGAAGCCGTTCATGGCAGTGACTCGTTTAAAGACAACTTTAGTATTGGGGGAAGTGTCGATAGCAGCGTTTCTTTTTACTTATACAAGCGTTGATAGCAGTGTCTCGTTTGTGGACAACTCATTATATATCAACTCATTCATACAGAGTTTCTTTTCGCAGCAAGTGAATGCACAGCAGTGTATCTGCATTACTGGCCCCCACTCCATTACCACTATCATCATCAACGATTTCCTACACGCGTGTGCGCGGCGGTCGCCATGAGTGAATAGTTTGCAGAGACTTCTCGCATTGATAGCCATGGGTCACTTCAGAGTGAACTCATTTGTGATCTTCTTTTATTGGAAGTTGAATCGGTTGATGGCAGTGCCTCGTTTAAACTCCACTTTGGTATTGCTAGTAGTGTCAATGCCAGCGTTTCTTTTTAATTGTGCAAGCGTTGATAGCAGTGTCTCGTTTGTGGTTAGTTATAACAGCGTTGACAGCAGTGTCTCGTTTGCGGACACCTCATTGTACATCAACTCGCTGATACCGGGTTTCCTATCAACACCATCATCATCATCCTTAACCTCCTCGTAGCCATTTTGCTTAGAGCTGTACACATGTTTGCTCGAGTTTCACCTGGCCGTCCAGCCGCGGCGGTGCTCCTCAGCCTGCCTTGTCACAATGCCAGCGCGCGGCAAGGCATCGCCCCCGCCACCCCCGGCCCCGTGCGATGGCCCGTGGGAGATTCTGCCGGATCCGCCCGCGCCGACTCCTCAGCCAGGTGTCGACGTGGTCTTTGAGCAGGCTCACCTCGAAGACATCCGCCGTACACCAGGGATGGGCGGCAAGACCGCCTGCCAGTGGCAGCGCGCGCTGCGCGCCGAGTGCATTGTCAACAACTTGTCGTTCAAAGACGTAACAAACGACCCGTCCTACGACTGGAAGCAACTGCTTCGGTCTGCCGCTCCGGGTTTCGCTGAGCGCATAATCGGGCAGGGCATCGCCCAGGTTCTCTTTCGCATCATCGAGACAGAGCGCGACCCTAACTACTCCAACACGGATGGCCACGGCAGGCACTTCTTCGAGTTCCGTCGTGCAGACGGTTCAGCCATGCGCCTGCATTACCATAAGAACGGCCGACCCGATGAGCCCACCTTTGTCGGTCCACCACGCGCCGTTGCTCAGCCTGCCGTGCCTGAGCCTGGCGCTGCTCAGCCTCGTGTTCCTCGTGGCGGCGCTGCTCAGACTGCCGTGCCTGACGGTGGCGCTGCTCAGCCTGCCGAGACTGGCGGTGATGCCCCACTGCTCTTCACACAGGAGCACCTGCAAGAGGCAGCCTGCTCGCGCCAGATTGTGGGCCGCGACGAAGCCAGCGCCGCTCTCCAATCGCTGTTGCACTACCACCATGGCGAGACTGCCCCAGGTGCTGTTGACATCACCGATGGCTCAGCATTTGACTGGCTTCGATGGGTGGCACATATCGAAGATGCGCGCGACGTCATCCGCAATGGCGTCCACAGGGTCTACGCTGTCCGCTGGAATCCGCACTGGGCTCCAGAGGCCGTCTTCTGCTACGGCAACAACACCTACAGCACACTGGTGCCCCGCAAATCGCGCTACACAGGCTCGTGGAGCCACGCGCGAATTGTGACTCACCGGAACGCCAATTGGGTGACCGAACCGTTGCTATCTGCGGCCCCTGTGGCAGCTACGCCGTGGCTGGTGTTGCGGGATCAAATAACCTGGGAGTGATCTCTGGCAAACGAGATGTGGTGCTTCTCAGCCTGCACTCATGTGACACGCAATGCCGTGCCCTGCAATCGCGTGGTGTTTCTCAGCCTGCACTCGCAGGTCCTTCGGAGGTCAATTGTTATGAGTTCGGCACGGTCTCGGTCAAGTACAGCGTGCTGTGGGGATCCCGAGATGGGGCCTGGCTCAAGGTGCTCAAGACGTACTGGAGTGTCCCAGAGCCGGAGTGCCAGCTGATCCTCGGGAGTTGGAACGGCATTTTCAGGCCGTGGCCGGACACGTTCTGGATCAGGACGGGGGGGTCCGAGCCCGAGATGGAGTGCTAGCGCTCTGCAGTACAAGTGCTTTTCAGCATGCGACATCCTGCGGTGCTTCTCAGCCTGCAGGGTTCGCAGCGTGCGGTTTGCAATGCATTCCTTTTCAGTATGCGAGTTCCTGCGGTGTTTCTCAGGTTGCAGGGCTCCGAGGCTCTTCGCTTCGATGCCAATGTTTTCAGACACCGTAGCTCCGTTCCGTAAACATCTTCCAAGAGCCGCTCGCAACCTTTTGCAGCTGGCGGTCTGCAGACGTAGTCTGTCTCAGCATGCGAGCTCCCGCACGCTTCGCCGGCTTTTGCTGCGCGGACAATTTTCTCACACACGTCAGCGCCGTTTGTAGGCGTCAGAAAAACATGTAGACATTCACGAAGGGCTCAGTCTGTATATCGTCACATCATTACATACGCAGTCGTCGAACACATCGGTGTACATTCAGCGCTTTGTCCTTCTAGCTGGGTCGCTTCGTGCTGAGGCTGAGGCTGATGCAGGCTGAGGCTGAGGCAGGCTGAGGCTGAGGCCGAGGCCGACGGCAGACTGAGGCTGAGGCTGAAGCAGGCTGAGGCTGAGGCAGAGGCAGGCTGAGGCTGAGGCTGGCTGAGGCAGGCTGATGCTGAGGCAGGCTGAGGCTGAGGCTGAGGCTGATGCAGGCTGAGGCCGAGGCAGGCTGAGGCTGAGGCCGAGGCCGAAGGCAGACTGATGCTGAGGCTGAAGCAGGCTGAGGCTGAGGCTGAGGCAGGCTGAGGCTGAGGCAGGCGGAGGCTGAGGCTGAGGCAGGCTGAGGCTGAGGCTGTGACTGCGACTGCCGTTGCCACTGCGACTGTCATCGCGAATGCGACTACGACTGCGAGAACAGCAGAATTCTACAACTGGATTCTCATCTGAATCTTAAGGGGAATGCTTCCATATATGCTCCTACACATCGCTGTTAGGTTGCTTTGCCGGGATAATTTTCCACTCCGAACGTCTTCGGTGTTTCCAGATTGGCGCTCCCGCTGAAACGTTGGCTCCATTTTCTGGCTGTTGGTCCTTCCAAATCATACTCCCGCTGCAGCGCTGACCTCATTTATTCGTTGCGGATCTTCCAAACCGTATTCCCGCTGCAGCGTTGGTTCTCATCATACGCTTCCGCTCTTTCCGAACCGTCTCATTACATTTTTCGTCTTGCGTCATGTCTGGTTTCCCTCAGAACCTGTTGTCTAAATGAGTCGTGTTCTCGACCAGCGCTGGCTCTCGTTTCTTGATTCGTGTGTTTCCACACCACACCGTCTATTCTATTTACATTTCCCGTACTGCGTCCCATCAGACTCTACTGTCGAACAGGAGCCGTGTTCTCGACCCGACGACGCTCTGCCGTGCTCTTCTATGCCATGGTACGCTGCGCACTGCCATGCATCTCGTTCCCTCTCGGGTTCGTTGCCCTGCTCGACATCCGACTGTGCGAGTGGAGAGGAGATCTACGCCATGGTAAGGGACGGGAGGGAGGGGTAGCACGCAAGATAAAACGCTTGCGCACCTAGCTAGTCCCTTCTCCTTCTCTCTCCCCCTCCCCCTCCCCCTCCCCCTCCCCCTCCTTCTGCCGCGGGGGTTCGAGACCATCAGGGGTTCGAGGCCGTGCGCACGGTTGTTGTGGAAGCGATCTGGCCTGGGTCTGGGAGTGACGGTGAGCGGCACGGCGGGGACACTCATGACCGGCCTGTTGTGCTCCCCAGGGACCTCGACGAGGCTGGCTGCCCGTCTCGAGGATCATGGCAGGTGCAGGGCCAGACCTTTTCAGCCGCACCAGTGCTCGAGTGGGAGCAGCCGGCGTAGGGCCCGAAGGGAGCGAGCCCGCACGTGTTGATTTGTGCGCGCTGCTTTGGGCACGCCACGTGCCCAGGAGTCGGCCGTGGTCTCAAGGCGGAGTGCTCGCCCACGGGAGGACGCGCCCTCCTGGCGCAGAGCACGCGCAGCAGCGCTGAGAGAGGCATTCATCCCCGCCACGCGTGGAGCGCCCGCCTGGGCGAGCTGGCTGGGCCATCGGCGGGGGCAGTGGAGGGAGCATTTCTCTGGGCCCGACGCGGCGCGGGCAGCGAGGGTGCCTGACGGGCGCCGCGCGGCCCTAGACCAACCGATGCGGTGGGGCAGCGAATGCCCCCGCATGGCCCTAAGCGCTGTCTTGCGGGCCTTCGGTTTTCGCACGTGCGCCATGGCAGAGGAGCTCGGACGCGAGGCGTACGCCCTCGATGCCGCCCAGGCCAGCGCCGATGCCATCACCACCGCTACCACTAGCAGGAGGGGGAGGAGGGGGAGGAGGAGGAGGAGGAAGGAGGAGAGGAGGAGGAGAGGAGGAGGGAGGAGAGAGGAGGAGGGGGGGAGGGAGGAGGAGGAGGGGCGAGTGTTTCGAATCTGAGGCACTCTTTGGGGCGCGACGCCGGCCTCGGATGCGCGCCAGCGGCGCGGGCACTGCGTGGGCCCACCCTTCACCGCTGCGGGCACCTCCCTCGGGTGTCCGTTGTGGGAGTGGGGGGGACCTCCTTCTCCTCCCCCTCCCTCGGGAGTCGTCTACCTCCTACTCCTCCTCCTCCTCCTCCTCCTCCTTCTTCTCCCCTCCTCCCTCTCCTCTCCTCTCCTCCTCCCCCTCCTCCTCCTCCTCCTCCTCCTCCTCCTCCTCCTCCTCCTCCTCCTCCTCCTCCTCCTCCTCCTCCTCCTCCTCCTCTCCCGTCACTAGTTTTCAAGGAAGCCGCCCTCCCTCCGCGGAGCTGTTGCACATCTCATGCTCCAGGACCACGGGTGGTGAAGAAGTCTCAGACGGAACGCTGGGGTCGCCCTACCGACGCGTCGGGGGGTGCGACGGGCAAGTATCAACAAGGAAAGGAAGAGGAGAAGGGAGAGGAGGAGGAGGAGGAGGAGGAGGAGGAGGAGGAGGAGGGATGAGGAGGAGGAGGAGGAGTGGAGGAGGGAGGAGGAGGGGAGGTGGAGAGGAGGAAGGGGAGGAGGAGGAGGAGGAGGAGGAGGAGGAGGAGGAGGCCGAGGAGGAGGAGGAGGAGGAGGAGGAGGATGATGAGGAGGGATGATGAGGAGGAGGAGGAGGAGGATGAGGAGAAAGAGGAGGGATTTTAGGGGCCTCGTGGGGCTCTCAAGCTGCCTCACGGGGGCTTCCTGGGGGCCTTTCGCGGGCCTCTGAGGCCTCCCGGGGCCTCTTAGGGGCTCATTGGGGGCCTCAGGGGGTCTTGCTGGAGGCTGACTTGAGAGCCTCACCGACTTGCCTTGGAGCCCTCTTTGGGCGCTATAGGGTCCGTCTTGGAGGTCTCTGGGTCCGTCTGTGGGCCGTCTTGAGGGCCTGCTGTGCCGCCCGGGCCGCTGTCGGAAGTCTGAACAGGGGAGAGCGCGATAATCATTGAAACATTTGCGGTCAATAACTGTTCTGGCTTCCCAGAAGGCCTCTTGGAGACCTCTTGGACCGTATCAGAGGTCGTCTCGAGGCCATTCGGAGTTGTCTGGGAGCCATCTTGGGCCATCTTGGGGCCATCCCGGACCCTCCTGGTGCCATCTTGGCCGTCTTGGAGACCATCCTGGGAATATTGGAGGCCATTTGGGACCATCTTGCCTGTCTAGGAGGCCCTCTTGGAGCCACCTTCGATGGACATCCGACGGGAGATCGATTTCCAGTGTGGCCGGCTGTGTGCGCCGAGGTCTCAGTAGGAATTCATTAGAAGGGTCACCGAGTACTGGAAGGCTGGGTATGCCCAGTGCCATTTAGCAAGCAACACTCAGGAGGGAAAAAACACACAGACACAATTCATCGACGATCCCCAGGAAAATATGGGGGAATATGGGAAGTGGTGGGGAAGACGAAAACCCAGAGAATATGAGAAAATATGGGGAATCTGGTCATTAGTGTTTATTCCCAACCCTCCTGCGTTGGGCACTCGTTTTGAATAGAGCACTGTGGTCTCCACCTTCCTCCTCCCGCCTCCCGCCTCCTCTCTCCCCTCTTCGTCTCGCTTGCCTTTTACCTACCTAGCTTGCCGCTCGCCATCCCTGGGGGGCGGCGATCTGTGAAACTGTCGCCAGTTTCGAGGGTTGCTGGGGTGGCCAGCGGAGTGGCGCCCCACGGGGACTCAGATTAGACCTCGCCGTCTCTGGGGGGCTGCGATCTGTGAAACTGTCGCCAGTTTCGAGGGTTGCTGGGGTGGCCAGCGGAGTGACGCCCCACGGGGACTCAGATTAGACCTCGCCATCCGTGGGGGGCTGCGATCTGTGAAACTGTCGCCACTTTCGAGGGCTGCTGGGGTGGCCAGCGGAGTGACGCCCTACGGGGACTCAGATTAGACCCCGCCATCCCTGGGGGGCTGCGATCTGCGAAATTGTCGCTAGTTTCGAGGGCGGCAGGGGTGGCCAGCGGAGCGACGCCCCACGGGGACTCAGATTAGACCTCGCCATCCCTGGGGGGCTGCGATCTGCGAAACTGTCGCCGCTTTCGAGGGCTGCTGGGGTGGCCAGCGGAGTGACGCCCTACGGGGACTCAGATTAGACCTCGCCATCCCTGGGGGGCTGCGATCTGTGAAACTGTCGCCACTTTCGAAGGCTGCTGGGGTGGCCAGCGGAGTGACGCCCCACGGGGACTTAGATTAGACCTCGCCATCTCTGGGGGGCTGCGATCTGCGAAACTGTCGCCACTTTCGAGGGCTGCTGGGGTGGCCAGCGGAGTGACGCCCTACGGGGACTCAGATTAGACCTCGCCATCCCTGGGGGGCTGCGATCTGTGAAACTGTCGCCACTTTCGAGGCCTGCTGGGGGGCCCAGCGGAGTGACGCCCCTACGGCGGACTCAAATGGGACCTCGCCATCCCTGGGGGGCTGCGATGTGTGAAACTGTCGCCACATTCGAGGCCTGCTGGGGGGCCCAGCACAGTGGGTACACACGGCGGACTCAAATGGGACCTCGCCATCCTGGGGGGCTGCGATCTGTGAAACTGTCTCCACTTTCGAGGGCTGCTGGGGGGCCCAGCACAGTGGGTACCCACGGCGGACTCAAATGGGACCTCGCCATCCCTGGGGGGCTGCGATCTGTGAAACTGTCGCCACTTTCGAAGGCTGCTGGGGGGCCCAGCACAGTGTGTACCCCCGGCGGATTCAAATTTGACCTCGCCATCCATGGGGGGCTGCGATCTGTGAAACTGTCGCTACTTTCGAGGGCTGCGGGGGGCCCAGCGGAGTGACGCCCTACGGGGATTCAGATTAGACCTCGCCAGCCCTGGGGGCCTGCGATCTGTGAAACTGTCGCCAACTTTCGAGGCTGCTTGGGGGCCACAGCGGAGTGAAGCCCTACGGGATACAGACTTTCTCGCCACCATGGTGGGTGCGCTCTGGAAACTGTTCGCCCATTTCGAAGGCTGCTTGTGGGGCAGCGGAGTGACGCCCTACGGGAATTCAGATTAGACCTCGCCATTCCTGGGGGGCTGCGATCTGTGAAACTGTCGCCACTTTCGAGGGCTGCTGTGGGGCCGACGAAACTGTCGCCACTTTCGAAACCTGCTGCGGGTTCCAGCATAGTGACGTCCTACTCGGACGCAGATTGGACCCGTCATTCTACTTCGATTATCCCGCATCTGCGATCGACTGTATGTGTGCGAGGAACTAGACATGGAGTGGTCTGGCACTGACTGACGTCAAATCGTTGTGTGCCAGTGTCTCCTGGGGTGTTGCATGATGTGGATGCAGCTCGTCGGCGCTGCGACTCGAGCTGGCGGTCGTCCTTCGGACCCGCAGAAACATCTGCTGAGCTCGATGAGCTAGGGGAACTACAGGAAAGAAGTGCAGGAAACGGAAGCCGGTCATGCACTCGCCGATACCTCGTTGCTTTGTCATCGTCTTTGCTGTTGCATGATCCTTATCTGGCCTGCCGGCGCCGCGGCTCGAGCTGGCGGTCGCCCTTCGGGCCCGCGGGGGCATCTTCTGAGACAAGTGGACGCCGCCGCCTTACTTGCAGGCAGCGCATTGCATTCGCGGACAGCAGCATGGCAGACCGCAGTGAGATCCTCAGTCGCGTGGTGTTGCCAAGCCTGGTGGAGACGCGCATGATCGACCTGAAGTCCCAATCGCGCGTGCACTGTACCTGCGTGGCGTTCAGGCGCGCGCGTGATGCTGCTCGCTCCGCGTTCAACCAGTACGTCGCCAGTGCAACTTTGGACGATGGACAACCGATTGATGATGCGCGACCCCGTCCTTGAGTTTCTTTCCCGCGGGCCGCCCGCAGACCTGGCGGCGCGCCTGCGAGCGTTCAGCTCCCGCGCTGAAATGTGCGGGAAGGAGGCGGAGAAGCTAGCGGGCGAGCTACGCCTCGCTCGTTCCTTGCACTCTAAACAAGTTTATCATGTGGAACTCTGCGACGACATGGCGCAGGCAGCGCTGCGGGTTTAGCTCGCGCTTGAAAAACGCGGCAGTCTTCTGTCTCCTCCCGCCACTTTCATCGTCGTCCCATTCCCCGCCTCACCTTCTCCATGCATGCTGCTGCTTCCGCGATGGCCTTTCGCCCCCCCCGCCCTCCATTCCATCCCTCTCCTACCCCTCGTTCCCGTGCCCGTTCTTCTTCGATCCTGGGGCCTCAAGCCTCGTTATTTCGATCGTCGTCCTGTGAATCGTGCAACGCATGCGCATCCCATGTAGCTTGCGCAGCAAATCGCCGCGTCTACACTGTCGTTGTTCCTGCTAATGTTGGCATAGTCCTCTTGCCATTTGATGCACGTGGGTTGGGTACGTCGCAGTTCCCATTCAAACACGGGGGTGGCAGAGCCAGCGGACTTCGGCCCAGCCTGCCACCATGCTGGGGTCGTGGACCAGATGCCTTCTATATGTCGTTCGGGGCCTCTCGGGAGGTCTTCCGGAGGCCGTGCTGGGCCTGCTTGGGGACTCTTGGGGATCTCTCGGGATCTCTCTGGGGGCCTCTCGGGACCTCTCGGGTCCTCTTGGGGGCCTCGTGGGGGCTTCTGGCGGTCTCGGAGGTCACCTTGAGGCCCTGAGGAGGAGGGCTCGATATGTTACGTCATCTTCCCCCTCATGGGCACCTGTTGGGGCCATCTTCGGAGCCTCTTCGGCCTTTCTTGGGGGCTTGGAAGCCAGCTAGGGGCGATCTTGGGGGCGTCTTGCGCCGTCGTGGGCGTTTTTGAGACAGATAATGCGAAAAGGCTGACGTCAGAAATAACAACGACCAGGACGAACCCCAAAAAAATATTAACCTGGGTTTATAACGTTCTGGGATTAGTGACCAGGGTTCATAATGTCCCCCCGGAACATTCTGCACCTGGGTTTTGAATGTTCCAGGATATATTGTTTGTGGTTCGTAATGTTCCCCCGGAACATTATAAACCTTGGTTTATATTGTTCCGGTCATGTCAACCCCAAAAAGATATTAACTTGGGTTCATAATGTGCTGGGAATGTTGACTCGGGTTAAGAATGTCTCGGGAATAACGAGCCCCAGTTTATTCTTCTGGAATGATGAAAATGGGGGCTGAGGGGCGTCGCCTGAGCCATGGGCGGATATTCTGAATCCCGGTTCATGATTCCGGAATGATTATCATTATTATTTTCCCCCAGATCCGCGCCTCCAAACTGGGATTCATTATGTTAGAATATTGACCGTAGCCCGTTATCTCTAGAACATCACAAGCTGGGGTCCACAATGTTCTGGGAATAGTATATTCAGGTTTATTATTCCAGAATGATATGATCCGGCGGAGGGAGGGAAGCGCCTGAGAAGGAGATTGGACTGGGATCAACCCTGGTTCATTATGTCGGAATGTCGGCCCCAGATGCAATTATCCAGAATAAAAATGATCCGGGGAGGGGGGGGGGCCACCGATCCATCCACAGGCCAGTCATCCAATGGAAGTATCATCTGAACATAATGAACCTAGGTTTATCACCACGGTCGACCAGGATTTCGGGGGCACCCTCACGACGACATTTACACACATCTTCACTGATTTTTGGCTTCGTGCCGCGGCTCCCAGAGCCTCCAATACGACCCAAGTGGCACCCAAGAGGGCTCCAGGCCCTGGGCCCTGGGACCGTTTCGAATTATGTGTTGACCTGTGGACTATGGAATCCCTACCGTGCTCCCGAGGCCTCCAGAGAAGTCACCCGACAAGCCCCGCGAGCGCCTGGGAGTGCCCAGAATCGCTTGGAAATCTGGGTCCTGGACATTTTTAATAATACTCAGCACAGAGAGCTCGAATGGACCCGAGGTGCCCAGCGACACGGTGCCACATAAGGAGTATGCTCCAGTCGTTCCAAGAGCGTCTTCAGATGATCTTGGGCGGAGTTCAAGGCAAACTCTCTCTCCACCCTCCTTCACATCCTCCTCTGTTCCTCCTCCTTCCACTAGGATTTAGCCCCCCTAGAACTCCGTAGAATAAGCATCATTCCCCAAGACCCCGCTAGATAATGGAAGCCCAAAGAACTTCGGAATCCTCGCTCCACCTCCCTCCCTCCCTCCTCTTCCTTCCCTCCCTCCTCCGCCGCAGTCGTCGTCGTCTTCGTCGTCGTCGTTGTCGTCGGCGTCGTGGTCGTGGTCGTGGTGCGTGCTGCTCTGCTCGGGACTTGTTTCCTTAATTCAGTGACCACCCACTTGGATTGCCAGGCATTGCACGCTGCCTGGCTGTCCGTTTGTCCGTCCGTCCGTTCGTCTGTCCTTCCTCCCAGCTCCCTGAGCCGCGGCGCTTTGAGCTTCTTAGCTCAGGGACGCGTCGGCCACCGCCGTCCTCTCCCGTGTCGGTGGCCCTGACGAGGTTGGGGGAGGGTGCCGAAACGCGCCCGGAGCCCAGCAAGGCATGAGGGTGCAAACCCGGCTTGTCTGGCTGATGCTCTGGGAGGGCCTGTGCCCAGGGGAGGTTGCAGCACCGCTCAACGATGTGCTGTTTAATCGAACCTACAGGGTGGGCCCTGTCCCGAATCCGTGCTTCGGTGCGCATCGTCTGCGCGCCTCGTCTTCGTCGTCGTCGTCGTCTTCGTCGTCGTCGTTGTCGTCGGCGTCGTCGTGGTCGTGGTGCGTGTTGCTCTGCTCGGGACTTGTTTCCCTAATGCAGTGACCACCACCCACCCCCTCCTCCCTCCTGACCACTGAGGCGCAAGCTATTCCTTCCGCCTCGAGAAGAGCGTTAAAGGGGACAGTGCCAGCCCATTTCTCCGTTATCGCGCTCTTGGACCCCTCCAAGTTCTGCCAGGCAGGCTTAGGATAAAGATACGTCGTCCCAGGGCGCTCTGGAACGCTCTCGGAGCGTTTCGGAGCGCTCAGGAACGGCCGCGGCGCCTTGTCCTTTAATCCTGCCCGACCTTGTCCTTTAATCCTGCCCTCGCCTCGAGCCACTGCCTGCTTGCCTGCTCCTCCTTCCCCCGAGGATGCCCACAGGTTCTCCCCCCCCCCCCCTCCCGACGTGCCACCTCTCGGTGCGCGCCGAGGGAGGGGCCACGCGGCAGGCCCCCTCAGACCCCCAGGCGACGCTCCAAGCTTGTGGCGGCCAGTCTCTGGACGCCTCGGGCCTCCAGAGACTGTCGGCCTCGGGTCTCTGGACGCCTCGGGCCTCACCGCGGAGTGAAGGCATCAGATCGGAGGATGTCCGGGGCCTGGGCCAGCGCTCCTCAGGGAAGCGCAGGCGAGGCGCGCGGACGAGCGACGGGCCCCGCTTCCCTGCGGGGCCGGCGCGCTCCGTCGCCACGCCAGGCCGGCACCGGCCACGTCATGTTTTTGGGGGATACCTTCCCCGATCCAGGGGTCACCGAGCGCGCTGCACGCGCTCGCAAAGTGCCTACCCGCAAACGCCCCCCCCAAAAACAGGCAGGTCTTCCTCTATGCAGTGGATCGTACATTTAAGTCGGGCCTGTCCCTCTACAGGGGGAATTTTCCAAAATAGTCAAAGCATAGTCTGGGCACTATCTTTCCAGTATTTTTTTTGACCATTTTGGAGCACTTTTGGGGTATATCTCTTATTTGTTCGTCGACAATCCCCCTGTAAGGGGGACGCGCCCGACTTCCGCGTGCATCCCCCGCGGCGGCACCGGACCACAGGCGCGCAGCTCCTCTGCGAGCCGTGGAGCGCGCGCGTCCAACATCAGGAGGGGAAAAAACACACAAACACAATTAATCGTCGACTCCCAGGAAAATATAGGAAAATATGGGAATTGGGGGGAAGACAAAAACCCAGAAAATATGGGAAAATATGGGGGATCCTTTTATTTGTGTCTATTTATTTGTGTGTCCCAGGGCCCCTTCACAACAACGGGTCCGGCGCCCTCGCGCCGGACCCACGCGGGCCCGCGCCTCCGCCGAGTCGCGCGCCCAGCCTCCCCGAAGCCGAGCCGTGCGCAGCTCCGTGGCCGCCCTCGGGGGGCCGCAGGCGTGCGCAGCTCCGCGGCCGAGGCCTGCCAGGCTCGGGGGACGCGGGCGACGAGCCGGAAGTCGGGCCTGTCCCTCTACAGGGGGAATCTTCAAACATAGTCAAAAATAGTTTTTTTTTGTTTTTGTGTGTGGGGGGGGGGGAAATAGAAAAGTATATATATATATATATAGATATATAGATATATAGAGACCATTTTGGAGTATTTCTGGGGTATTTCTTGTTTTTCGTCGAAGATCCCCCTGTAGGGGGACGCGCCCGACTTAGACTAACTCGAGGGAAGAAACTCGGGTACCAGGACCAGGACGTCTGGGGATCTCGTCGACGCCGGTCTTGGCCATGGTCCATGCCGGCCGTCGCCCATCCGCGAGGACGATCCAGGAATCGACGCTGACCAGGATCGACGGTGACCAAGATCGACACGGCGTCTCCACGTTCAGTCCTGGTCATGGTCTCCGTTCTTTTCCCCTCCAGATGCGCCAGCACCGATCCTGCCCCAGGCGGGCCGTGGGCCCAGGATCGGTGCGTGTGTGTGTGTGTGTGTGTGTGTGTGTGTTTGTGCCTTCCTGGCGTAGTCCCTCGGCGCCCCCCCCCCGCAGTATCCCGCTCCGCCTCCGAGAGTGTGCTCGGAGGCCTTCCGCTGCGCTTCGCTCGGGGGGCCCCCACCGCGGAAGAAAAAGGTCCTGAAGGGGCGAGGGGTCCTGGAGGCGTTTCGACTGGTCTTTTGCCTCCCCCCCCCCGCCTTCCAGAGTTCGCCCCCCGCCGCCCCCCCTTTTTTCCTGGACTCCTCCCCCCAGAAACCAGAGCCTCGACCCTGGCACCTCCAGAATCCCCTTGGGCAGCCTCGATCTGCCTCGGTCCGAGAATCTCGCTCCTCGCTCCCTCTCGATGCTCCTCGATCCCCGAGCCGCCCAGCACCTTCCCTTACGAGCCTCGTCAAGAATATCCAGGAACGGAAGTTGAAGTCCTGGGGCACGATACTTTCGGGGGTGGACAGAAAACCCCCAACAGTGACACGTCGATTAGTGAGTTGTCCGTTTTCGGTTCTCGAGAGGGCGCCGCGGTCGTTCTTCTCCAGGCCTGCGCCCGCCAGGTTTGGGCCTCAGGTCGTTTTCACTAAAGCACGTTTTACTAAAGGGAGGTCTGTCCATCCCCGATACTTCCGGGCACTTGTCAGAAAGCGCGTCTTTCAGTGCCGAGAGGGTGGGGCCGGTTTTTGGACGACACCGCGTCCGAGTCAGCAGGAATCCGTCAGCATTGGAGTGGCGCTGACCCCACAATCACCGAATTCGAGGTCGCTTTGGACCCGCTCGTTCGGGATCTGGGGCCCGGTTGGGGGCTGACTTGGGGGTCACTTGAAGCTATCTTGGGCCGTCTTGGGGCCCTCTCGGGCTGTCTACGGGCCTTCTTGGGCCGTCTGGGGGCCCTCCTGGGGCGGGGCCCTCTTGGACCGTGCGGGGGCGATCTGGGAAGCCCCCGGGGCCATCGGGAGCAGGAAAACCCTCAAAACCTTCAGAAGTCTTCTGTTTATTTTTGACGAGGCTTGTAGGTCCCCCAGGGCCGTCGAAGAGCGGCCCCGCACGAGAGGCCGGTCCCTGGGAGAGCCTCTGGGTCAAGACGGCGTTTTTTTTTTTTTTTTTTTTTTGTTCCCCCCCCCCCGACCTCGGCGCCTGGAGGCCCTCGCTGGGCCCTGGGACCGTCAACAATAGCGCCTCGGGGTGGTAACAAAAGCGCACCGACACAATTCATCGTCGATTCCCCAGAAAATATGGGGAAATATGGGAAGTGGGGGGAGACAGAAACCCAGAAATTATGGGGACTCTGGTTATTTGTGTCTATTTACTTGTGTGTCCTAGTTCCGCTTCAGTCAAGCGACTCAGGATGCAGAACTGGTCCCGGGGAATGGGTCGAGACTTCGGGCGACCCCGCCTGGGGAAAGTCGCGACGCTGGCTTCAAGTCGGGCCTGTCCCTCTACAGGGGGAATGTTCAAAAATAGTCAAAAAATAGTCAGGGGAGAATTTTTTGAGTGTTTTTTTTTTTTTGATCATTTTGGAGTACTTTTTGGGTATTTCTCATTTTTCGCCGAACATCTCCCTGCCGGGGGACACGCTCGACTGAACGTTGGGTCTCTGGGGGCCCGCTGCCGCCCGGGCCCCTCCGCAGACGTCCGACGACGCGCAGTTTTTTCCCATCCGCGGGCCCCAGAGGTGCCCACCCCCGTGGGTGACTTTCGACTTATGATGTTCCAGCCTACTTTAGCCTTGATCACCAGAAGGAGTTTCGAGCACCAGAAAAGAGTACCGACACTTGACGGTTTTCACGCGTCGGGCCCTGGGAGACACTCGCCCGACACTGTTTCGACACGCTTTCGACACTCGTTCGACACTTTTCCCGGTGCTCGAAATTATTTCTGGGATGTGGTCCTTAAGTACGAGGGGAGCAACATAATCCTGGGGAATGGGTCGAGACTTCGGGCGACCCCGTGTGGGAAAAGTCGCGACACTGGATCTCTGAGAGCCGGTTGCCGCCCAGGGCCCCTCCGCAGACATCTGCGCCGCGCGTGGTTCCCATCCGCGGCCACCCCCGTGGTGATTAGTTTTGACGTCGGGTTCGCTTTTGGTAGCCCCCCCGGGCCCGAAGGTGGGCCTGGGAGCCCGAAAAACTGGGCGAGAAACAGCTGGTATGAGAAAGGCAATCCTTCGGAGTTCTGGGCTTGCCACCCCGGGAGCGGGCACGCGAAAAAGAAGGGCGATGCCCAACAGTAGATGTTGTCCCAAACTGGCAGCGGCCGCTGTGGGGCAGCCGACCTTCGTCCCAAACGGATGACGTCCGCGGCGACACCGACGGCGAGTCCTTGTCAAAATGGGCAGGGGTTGCTGCTGGTTTTCGTCCTCCTCCTTTCCGCCCCCAGTTGAGCGACGCAGAAAAGGGGGTCGTCTGCGCCGACATTCGCGTGTAAGCCGGCCGCGTAAGGTCGCGCGTAAGCGCCCTCGTCCCCAATGTAGCATGCCGCGCTGGCGGCCCGCGTAAGCCGCGGCGTAAGGTCGCTTTGTCATCTCGCGTAAGACCCGGCCTTTTTCGTAGCTCAGTTGGCTCACTCTTAAAACCCTGAGCCAAACAGTACTGTCATCCCTGGTGGGGGGATGGTTTTGCTTCCGCCGCCATCCGCCGATGTTCCGCCGGTGGATGCGCCCTCGTTTTTGCTCCGGCCGGCCTCCCGCCTTCCGCCGAGGACGAGTTGTCGGCTCCTCGACCCCATCAGGGCGAGGCCCTTTTGAGAGCGTTCCGTCTCGATCTTACAGTCGAGATGCTGAAACAAGGGCCACTTTGGGCTCCGGAGGGGCCCGGGCTTCCGTGCACTTCCTCAAGGTCTAGGTCGTGGAACCCATTCGCGGCTGAGGCTCGCCGTGGCCCGGCAAGCCTCTCTGCTGCGTGCTCGGCGCCCCCTGTGGCAGCACGATGACTGAACCGAGCTTCTTCTCTCGTGCCGATACGCCGCCTCTCCGCGGCTCCCTCGCAGGGCGCGCCGCCCGCCCCCCCCCCCGCCCTCCCTCCGGCCAGGAGAAGCCGCGCTCTGCCCGGCGAGCGGGGCTCAGGGCGAGAGCGAGAGAGAGAGAGACAGAGAGCAAGAGAGTGTCCACGGCACGCTGCCCTTGGGAGCCCGCCAGTGTGGTGCTTCTCCGTTTTCGCCCGACGGCCTGGTGGGTCCCCGGCAGCAGCGCGCTGACGGGCTCCCCTGGGCGGCGTGTCACTGAGAACCATCGCTTCTTGCCCCCCGAGCCAGTCGGCAACTGCGGGCGCTGGGAGCCCAGGCCCCCTCGCGCTCTGGCAAAGACTACGACAGAGACTCTTTTGCCATTGTCGGCCTCTGGGGGCCCTCGCCGGGCCCTGGGAGCATCACCGAGGCCGCGCACGCAGGATGAGAAAGCGGTCCCGGGGAACGGGTCGAGACCTCTGGGGGTCCGCCCCTCCCTGAGTGCTGCGGGATGCGAGACTGGGATCTGGCTCCAGGCGAAGGCCTGGGGAGGGAGGGAGGGAGGGAGGTTTCGAAGGGAGTCTGATGTATGCACCTCAGAGTGGGTTCGTTTCTTCAGTTGGAAGGCTGACAGTCGTTTCCTGCAGTCTTCGGAGTGTTTCAGAGGTTTCCTGAGGGTTCGGAGGGGGACGAGGAGGCGGCGGATGACGTGGAGGATGAGGGCATAAGAGACGTGCTCTAAATTTGTTGTAGGGGGTTCAGGGAGTGGTGTTCGGGCTTGTATGGCCTCTTATGAGAGGGGTTTAGGGGAGGGACTGGGAGGGAAGGTGTGAGGGGGGGGTGCGAGGACGGGACCCCATCTGGGGAAAAACCAAGGGAAAATATAGAAGCAGGGGCAGAATGCAGAAGCGGCTGAGGAGCAGTAGGGGGAAGCGGTGGAGAAGCATGTGGAGGAGCGTGGGTGGGGAGTGGGAAGAGACGCGGGATCAGCAGGAGGATGCGTAGCCCGCGCTGGCCCCCAGGCCGGCTGCCAAGTCGGACGCTGGTTGCTGCTGGCCTCTGGGCTCGGGCCGCCGTCTTGCGCCAGGGCGCCAGGTCCCCTATCGCGGGGAGACTGGCGCGGCGCGCCGGCGGCGCAGTGAGGCCGCCCGGCGCCGCCCGGGCTCAGCGCTGTACGCGGCCGCTTGCAGCGCGGAGGAGGCGGGAGAGCTGGGGTTCCACGTCATGCAGCTCGCTGGCCGCAGCGGCTGTGACACCAGTGACTCAGGACAACTACCTGAACGCCCTGCGCAAGCTCCTGGCGTGGATGCGCGTGGCTAAGGCCTCCCGGCGCTTCCTGGCGTGCGAGTGGGGCCTGCTGCTGGAGCAGTACGTGGAGTTCCTGCACGACCGCGGGCTGCCGGAGGGGGATGCCGCCAGCGCGCTGGCTGCGGTGCGCTGGGCGCTGCCCGAGCTGCCGCGCCCGCTGCGCCAGGGTCTGCCCCTGGCGACGGCTGCGGTCACAGGCTGGCGCCGGCTCGAGAAGCCGCTGTCGCGCCCGCCAGTCCCACGGTCGCTGGCCATCCTGATGGCCCTCTGGCTCTGCGCCGACGGCAAGGCGGACTACGCCCTCTTCCTGCTACCGACGTTCGAGACGTACATGCGGCCAAGCGAGGCGCTCCGCCTCCTCGACCTACAGCTGGTGCCGCCCGTGCCGGGCGAGACGGGGGCGCGCCGCTTCCGGGCCATCTTGATCCGCGCGAGCGAGTTGGACGTGCATGGCAAGACCGACGAGTTCGACAACAGCGTCGCCCTGGACCTGCCGCGCCACCGCCTGCTGGGGCCGGCGCTGCGCCAGTTGAAGGCCGAAAGGGGGATCTGGAGCGGCTCTTCACGTTCTGCTACACCGACTTCCTCCAGGTCTGGAGCCGCTGCCTCGACGGCCTGGGCCCGAGGATGCTGCTGGTGACGCTCTACTCCCTCGGGCGCGGGGGGGCCTCGGAGGACGTGTCCTCCCTGTCGCGGGCGCTCCTCGACGTGCGGAAGAGGGTCGGGTGGCGCTCGTTCCAGAGCGCGCGGCGCTACGACAAGCACGCCAGGCTGAGAATGATGATGCGCCGCATCCCCGCGCGGCTGCGCGAGGAGGCGCGGCCCGGCTCTTGCTGCCGGCCTGCGAGCGGCGCGTACTGATGCCGCCAAGCTGAGGCACAGCGTCTTCATGGGCCACCTGCGCGGCGCCTGTGAGCAAGTATCTTCGCCGCAAGGGCTACGCCTGCATCGCCTTTGACGAGCTGCAAGGACCGCACTTTGACCTCGGCCGGCGCGATGTGGTGGCCGCGATCGCGGGCTGGATGCGCGCGGGATTGGTGTGGGCGCTGTGGTTTGCGACGCCGTGCGTCACTGCGACTCGAGCTCGCGCGGACAGGTCGGGTCGCGTGCCGCCTCCGCTGAGATCTTCTGAGCACTATCGAGGCCTGCCAGATCTGTCTGTCCGCCACCGCGCCAAGGTGCGCGATGCCAATAGTTTGATCGACGCGGGAGGCCGCCTCCGGCAGCTCGCCTGGGATCTGGGGACCAGCTGCGGCGAGGAAAACCCTCAGGCCTCCATCCTGTGGTGCTTTCCCTCGCGTCGTCGGGCTCTCGCTCGCGGCTCTGCGGTCGATGTTGACTTCTGTGCTGTTGGAGGCCCCGTGCGCACAGGGGCCGAGCTCGTTTTTCAGCAGTGTGGCACTGTCTCCACCCCGCATCTGCGCTGCCACGGTCGGGGCGGGCTCTGTTCGTTCACAGGCCGAAAGCACATGCGCATCCGCGGGAAGATGGGGGAAATGGCTCTCCAAAGTTGCAGGGCCATATCCTCCCACGACAGCTCAATTCCTCGGCGATGTTCTCATTCATGTAATCCATCGCCGTGCAGTGGCCACGCTCAGCAAATTGTGAATGGCCTCGCTCAGCCAGCTTACTGCTAATAGATGGCGTGATCATGGGAATTCAGCCTCTGTGCCTGCGCCTGCGCTGTCTCAGTGTGTGTGCTGGCTCCCGCATGATAAGTCGCCAGCGTTGCATGTCGACTGACCAAGAAGTGCTGGCCAGAGGTAGAGCTATGCTTGGTAATGTTGACGATCGCCATGGCCACTGTTTCTCAAGCCTTTTTCTGTCCGCCCAATGCCAGCCCTCGCTTCGACAAACTTTTAGATGTGGATTTCAGCCTCTGTGCCTGCGCCTGCGCTGTCTCAGTGTGTGTGTGCTGGCTCCCGCATGACAAATCGCACGCTTTGCACGTCGATTGACCAAACAAGTGCTGGCCTGAGGTAGGCTCGTGGTCGTCGTCGTCGTGGTCGTGGTCGTAGTCTCGTTATCGTCGTCGTCGTCGTCGTCGTCGTCGCCGTCGTCGTCGTCGTCGTCGTCGTCGTCGTCGTCGTCGTCGTCGTCGTCGTCGTTATCGTCGTCGTCGTCGTCGTCGCCAGTGTCGTCGTAATCGTCGTCGTCGTCGTGGTCGTAGTCTCGTTGTCGTCGTCGTCGTCGTCGTCGTCGTCGTCATCGTCGTCGGTCGTCGTCTCGTCGTCGTCGTCGTCGTCGTCGTGGTCGTCGTCGTGGTCGTCTTCGTCGTCGTCGTCGTTGTCGTCGTCGTCGTCGTCGTGGTCGTCGTCGTCGTCGTTGTCGTCGACGTCGTGGTCGTCGTCGTCGTCGTCGTTGTCGTCGCGTCTCGTCGTGGTCGTCGTCGTTGTCGTCGTCGTCTCGTCGTCGTCGTCGTCGTCGTCGTCGTCGTCGTCGTCGCCGTGGTCGTCGTCGTCGTCGCCTTGTCGTCGTCGTCGTCATCGTGGTCGTCGTCGTCGTCGTCGTGATCGTCGTCGTCGTCGTCGTCGTGGTCGTCGTCGTCGTCGTTGTGGTCGTCATCGTCGTCGTCGTCCTGGTGGTCGTCGTCTCGTCGCCGTCGTCATCGCCGTCGTCCTCGTCGTCGTCGCGGTCATCGTCGTCGTCGTCGTCGTCGTCGTCGTTTCGTCGTCGTCCTCGTTGTCGTCGTCGTCGTTTCGTCGTCGTCGTCGTCGTCGTCGTCGTGGTCGTCGTCGTCTCGTCTCGTCGTCATCGTGGATGTCGTCGTCGTCATCGTCGTCATGTTGTCGTCGTTGTTGTCGTCGTCGTCGTCGTCGTGATCGTCGTCGTCGTGCTGGTCGTCGTCGTCGTCGTGTCGTCGTCGTCCTCGTGGTCCGCGTCGTCGTTGTCGTCGTCGACGTCGTCGTTGTCGTCGTCGTCGTGGTCGTCGTCGTTCGTGTCGTGCCGTTTTGTCGCCGTCGTCGTCTTGTCGTCGTGCTCGTCGTCGTCGTCGTCGTCGTCGTGGTCGTGTCGTCGTCGTTGTGGTCGTGGTCGTGGTCGTCGTCGTCGTCGTCGTCGCGTCGTCTCGTCGTAGTTTTTTTTTTTTTTTTTTGTCGTCGTTGGCGTCGTCGTCGTTGCGTCGTTCCTCGTCGTCGTCGTCGTCGACGTCGTTCGTCGTCGTCGTGGTGGTCGTCATGGTCACGCCGTACTATAGTCTCGTCGTCGTAGTCGTCGTCGTCGTAGCTGTGGTTTCGTCGTCTTGGTCGCCGTCGTCTTTGTGATGTGTGGGCGTAGTCGTTTCGTTCTTGTCGTAGGTGGTCGTCGTTCTTGGTGTCGTCTTGTAGTGTTCGTGTCGTCAATTCGTCGGTCGTCGTAGGTCGTCGTCTTGTCGCCACGTTCGTCGTAGTTTCATCGTAGTCGTCGCTTTGTGGTTTTTGTTATTTTATTTTGTTGTTTATTGTTTTTCTTTTTTTATATTCTTGGTATTTTTATTGTGTTTTTTTCTTGTCGCCGTAGTCGTTGTCTCGTTCGTCGTCGTCGTCTTGGTCGTCGTCGTCGTCGGTCGTCGTTGTGGTCGTCGTCGTCGTCGTCGTTGTCGTGGTCGTCGTCTCGTCGTCGTCGACGTCGTCGTTTTTTTGTCGTTTCGTCGTCGTCGTCGTCGTCGACGTCGTCGTCGTCGTCGTCGTGGTCGTCGTTGTTCGTGTCGTCGTCGTCGCCGTCGTCGTTGTCGTCGTGGTCGTCGTCATCGTCGTCGTGGTCGTCGTCGTCGTCGTCGTCGTGGTCGTCTTCGTCGTCGTCATCGTTGTGGTCGTCGTGCTCGTCGTCGTCGTCGTCTTATCGGCGTCGTCGTCGTGGTCGTCGTTGTGGTCGTCGTCGTCGTCGTCGTTTCGTCGTCGTTTCGTCGACGTCGTCGTCGTCGTCGTCGTCATCGTCGTCGTCGTCGTCGTCGTGGTGGTGGTGGTCGTCGTCGTGATCGTCATCATCGTTGTCGTCGTCGTGGCCGTCGTCGGCGTTCAGTCGTCGTTTCGTCGTCGTCGCTCCCTCGTCGTTGTCGTCGTCGTTATCGTCGTGGTCGTCGTCGTCGTCGTCATTATCGTCGTCGTCGTCGTGGTGGTCGTCGTCGCGGTCGTTTTCGTCGTCGTCGTCGTTTCGTCGTCGTTTCGTCGTCGTTTCGTCGTCGTTTCGTCGTCGTCGTCGTCGTCGTCGTCGTCGTGGTCGTCGTGGTCGTCGGCGTCGTCGTCGTCGTGGTCGTAGTTGGCATCGTCGTCTTGGTCGTCGTCGTTTCGTCGTCGTCGTAATCGTTGCTGTTGTCGTTGTCGTGGTGGTCGTAGTCGTGGTCGTGGTCGTCGTCGTTTCGTCGTCGCCGTCTTGGTCGTCGTCGTCGTTGTCGTCGTCGTCGTGGTCGTTGTCGTGGTCGTCGTCGTCGTCGTCGTCGTCGTGGTCGTCGTCGTCGTCGTCGTCGTCGTGGTCGTCGTCGTCGTCTTGGTCGTAGTCGTTTCGTCGTTGTCGTAATCGTTGTTGTTGTCGTTGTCGTGGTGGTCGTCGTCGTGGTCGTCGTCGTCGTTGTTTCGCCGTCGCCGTCGTGGTCGTCGTCGTCGTTGTCGTCGTCGTCGTCGTCGTCGTCGTCGTGTCGTCGTCGTCGTCGTCGTGGTCGTCGTCGTCGTCGTCGTCGTGGTCGTCGTCGTGGTCGTCGTCGTCGTCTTGGTCGTCGTCGTTTCGTCGTCGTCGTAGTCGTTGTTGTTGTCGTCGTCGTGGTGGTCGTCGTCGTGGTCGTCGTCGTTGTCGTTTCGCTATGGCCGTCGTGGTCGTCGTCATCGTTGTCGTCGTCGTCGTGGTCGTCGTCGTCGTCGTCGTCGTTGTGGTCGTCGTCGTCGTCGTCGTCGTCGTATCGTCGTCGTCGTCGTTGTTTCGTCGTCGTTGTCGTCGTCGTTGTCGTCGCCGTCGTGGGCCTCTTCGGCTCGTTAGCGTCGTCGTCGTCGTCGGTTTGTCGTCGTCGGCGTCGTCGTCGTCGTCGTCGTCGTGGTCGTCGTCGTCGTCGTGTTGTATCGTCGTCGGTTCGTCATCGTCGTCGTCGTCGTCGTCGACGTTGTCGTCGTCGTCGTAGTCGTCGTCGTCGTCGTCGTCGTCGTCGTCGTCGTGGTCGTCGTCGTCGTTGTGGTCGTCGTCGTGGTCATTGTGGTCGTCGTCGTCGTCTCGTCGTCGTCGTCGTGGTCGTTGTCGTGGTCGTCGTCGTCGTCGCCGTCGTCGTCGTCGTCGTCGTGGTCGGGTCGCGTGGTCGCTTCATTGTCGCTCGTCGCGTTGTCGTCGTCGTCGTCGTTGTCGTCGTCGTCGTCATTGGTCGTCGTCGTGGTCGTTGTGGTCGGTCCGTCGTCGTAGTCGTCGTCGTTCGTCGTCGTCGTCGTCGTCGTCGTCGTGGTCGTCGTCGTCGCCGTCGTGGTCGTCATCGTCGTCGGCTCGTCGTCGTCGTCGTCGTCGTCGTGTCGTCGTCGTCGTCGTCGTGGTCGTGGTCGTCGTCGTTGTCGTGGTTGTCGTCGGCGTGGCTGTCGTCGCGTCGTCGGCTCGTTTCGTCGTTGTCGTCGTCGTCGGCGTCGTCATTTTGTTGTCGTTGTGTCCTCATCGTCGTCGTCGTCGTCGTCGTCGTTTCGTCGTCGTCGTCGTCGTCGTCGTTTCGTCGTCGTCGTCGTCGTCGTCGTGCTCTTTTTGGTCGTCGTCCTCGTTTGAGTCGTCTCATCGTTTTTTTTTTTTGTTGTCGGCAGTCGTCGTCGTCGTAGTCGTCGCGTGTCGGTCTCGCAGTCGTCGTCGTAGTCGTCATCGTCGTCGAGGTCGTCGTCGTCGTAGTCGTTGGTCGTCGTCTAGTGTCCGTCGTTCGTCGTCGTCGCCGCGTCGTCGTCGGTCGTCGTCGTTCGTCGTCGCGTAGTCGTCGGTTTCGTTCGTCGTCGTCTCGTCGTCGTCGTCGTCGTCGTCGTCGTCGTCGTCGTCGTCGTCGTGGTCGTCGTCGTCGTCGTCGTGGTCGTCGTCGTGGTCTTTGTCTTGTCTCGTCGTCGTCGTGGTTGTGGTCGCGGTCGTCTTCGACGTCGTCGTTGTGGTCGTCGTTGTCGTCGTCGTCGTCGTCGTGGTCGTCGTCGTCGTCGTTTCGTCGTCGTTTCGTCGTCGTCGTCGTCGTCGTGGTCGTCGTCGTCGTCGTCGTGGTCGTCGTCGTCTCGTCGTCGTCGTCGTCGTCGTCGTCGTCG